AGTTCGCGACCCTGAAGGCAACTTGTGCGTTGCAGGGAACTATGCCCCCGTCTGGACCGCCGAAAAGTTTCGCTACCAGGTCCTGGGAGCGTGGCCAGAAAAGCTTTGGAATTGCTCGCAAACGCAATCTAGACGCAGTCAAGGAGCGCGAAGAAAGCCTGGAGCTTGCGGATGTAGTTGCAGAGAACACCAAGCGGATTCGCTCCAACCCGGTTTTGTATCAAACGTTCCCAGACATCCCGGAGGTGACAGCCTGGAAAGCTCTTTTCAGAGACGATGCCTTGCGCTACCCTGTGCTTTTGTTATTGGGCCCTTCCATGTCTGGCAAAACAGAGTTCGCCCACTCATTGTTTCAGAATGCTTTGGAGTTGAAGATCGGCCCTCTCTTGCATTTCCCGGACAAGCTGCGTTCGTTTGACCGGAAGCTCCACGACGGTATTATTTTGGACGATGTCCGGGATTTAAGCTTTCTTACTGAGAACCAAGACAAGATTCAAGGCAAATACAACACCCAGCTGGAGTTTGGGACCACGCCCGGTGGCCAATGCAAGTACGAAAAGCATTTGTTTCGAGTTCCAGTTGTGGCTACACTGAACTATTCAACCCAGAACTTATCTTACCTGGAGCACCATCATTGGCTTTCCAAAGCTGGGAATCGCGTAGTTGTACATTTCCAAGGCTTCAGCGCAAGCAGCGCAGGTTGATGCTGGGCAACGCTCCCAGCCCAGACACGCAGCTGACGCTCAATGTGTGCAAATTGTCGGGAAGAATCGTGCAGCGCTCACAGCTTCAGCTTCAGTACGTTTGTGTTGCTCGGTCCTCTTTGCGATGACCATGTCCAGAGGCTGGGCTTGCTGGTTGCGGGCCAGTGAAACGTGCGCAGAGGCAAGGGCGCCGCTTGCTGGTTGGGGGCGACTGCTGGTTGAGGGCGACTGAAACAACATTGTGTCTGACAGTTTGGGTCATGGCCATCCATTGTTGTGTGTGCATGTGTCTGCGTGTTTGTGTGTTGTGACCGGCCAGTCTGCGTGTGTGTTTGTGTGTTGTGACCGGCCAGGCCTTCTTGGGATGACCGTGTCCAGAGGCGTGAGGGCGTTGGTTGTGGTCAAGGGTGATTGCCGCGCAGGCAAGCTGTGATTGGGGCCGAGGCAGACCTCAAGATGGTGTGTGTGTGTGTTGCGTGTGTGTTGCGTGTGTGTGCGTGTGTTTGTTGTGCGATTGTGGGTTTTTGTGTGCGCCGGCTTGTGCCTCGGTCCCTGTAAGATTGGTGCAGCCGCTTGCTGTTAGCTCTGAGTTGCAGCAAAACAAATAGCGCCGGCCATGGTGCTCGGAGCCAAACGCACAGAGAAGGTTCCGGCCAAAGTCCGTGAGGCGCGGTGGCCGGTGTGAGTGTTGGGGAGAGCAAGGTAAGCCCTGTTTTGGGGCCCGGAATATACAAGAAACTTGGTACCCTGCAAAGGGGCCCCCCCGGTGCCGTTGCAGCAGCGTGTTGCTCATATCAGGCCTGAAGCAATGTTAGTTGCAGTCACGTGTTTGTGCCTGGGTGGGTGTTGGAAGTTGGCTTACAGGCTTAGGCTAGGCAGAGTCCCATTGTTTGCATAGTGTGGGCAACTCAAAGGCATGGCCTTGACTATCGATGCGTCAGCCATGGAATTGGCTGAGCTCAATCAAAGGATTCGCCAGACGCGGCGGCGCCTGAAGCGTGCTCGTGAGGAGGTGGAGGAAGTTGGCCCGCAGCTGTCAATCTTGGTGCGGATGGTGTATGTTTTCAGCGGCTATGATCTAGAGGCTGCGGCAGAGCTGCTGGCAAGAAGGCTTGAGCCGCGGTGCTTTGACGAGTTTCTAGCCTTGGCCCAGGATGTCTGCTTGCGCGCGCCTGCTTCTGCAATGGCGTCGCTCGCGGGCGAATCTTGTTTGGAGCGCCACAGCTTGCGCACCATGGCTCTGGCGTGCAGGTTCATTGTGGAGTTGCGTTTGTTTTGGTGGGTGCGCTGTCAAAATTACGAGCACGGGGTGGCCCCAACACGGGCTCAGCTTGTGCGCTTTGCTGTGTCTGTGGCGCCGTCCGACGTCCCGCTGAAGCTGCAGGGCTTGGTGCGCCAACCGCTGCTGGGGTCGGCGCGCAGACAGCGCAAGTGGTTGCAGCGGTTCCGTGCTGCTTGGGGCGCTCGTCTTGGCAGGCTACGCGCTCTGGGAACGACGCCGCTGCATGAGATGCAGGAAAAGGCGCAGCAGGGCAAGGGTGTCGGTCCCGCTTTCTGCTTCTCTGCCGTCAATTGGAAGTTGTTAGGTCCCCCGTCCGCGTTTCGGGGGCTCATTTTTTCCTGCCCAGCATTTGTCTTTGTCGAAATATCTAGGTTGATGCGCGAGTCTTTGTTTTGGGGTCCATTTTTTACACCCCAAAATGGGGCTCGAAAAGAAACTTTAGATAGCGAACCCCGTTTTGGGGCGCGTGTTTCCGGCCCTAAAAGAGGTCTCGCTTTTCGGTGCTTTTGTTTCGCAGGCTGTGGCGTATTTTCGCTGGGCCAATGCTGCTTTAGATGCCGCCGCGCGGCCCTACTTGGTTGTCAATATGGACGAGGCTAGTTTATGCCGCCATGTGACGGGGCCTGTGGGCACTGTTTTGCGGACGTGCCCAGGCTTAGCGCTGCAGGCAGGGGACCGCGCCAGCTTGGCCACCCGGAGAGGTTGCGCTTCTTACCTTGCTTCAATTTGCAGCGAAGCGGACCTCAACCCAATCTTGCCGCAGGTTTTGCTGGGAAACGAGCACGTGTTCCCGAAGAGCCTGGTGAAGGGCATTCAGGCAGAACTTGGGGGCAACGTTTTCATTTGGCGAGAGAGGAGCGGGTGGAACAACCATGCGCTCATGAAGCGCTACATCAATTTACTCTGCCATTGTCTGGGCACGCTGCTGAGCGAGCGCACGGTTCTCCTTCTCGTAGACATGGCGCCGTGTCACATCCACCACACTGTCTTTGATTTGGCTCGACGGAGAGGTTTGAGAATGCTTCTAGTTCCTGCGGGTCTCACGGGGATGTTGCAGCCCCTAGACACTCATGTCTTCCAACCATTTCGCGCGAAGCTGCGGGAGTTATGGGTTGAATGCAGAAGCGTAGCCGAAGATGGGGAAGTGTCTTTCCTCACGTGGGCAAGGCTTGTTATCCAAGCCATTCAAGAGGTTGTTGTTGGCAAGCCGTGGCGGGCAGCTTTTGAGCGGACAGGCTTCCTCGCAAAGCAAGCGCTGCTGTCCCCCAAAATTTTGAAGGCGTTGGCGTGGGAATCTTGCCCCAAAATTGCCGCAGGTCCCCCGCCGCATGGCCAAGCTTCAGGCATGTTCCCGCGCCGTTGCCAAGCGAATGTGGCGGCTTGGGTAGAGTGGCGGGCAACAAAGAAGTTGCCGCGCATCCAGACGCTTGACTAAAGAGTGGATGAAAATGTGTTTTTGGACGGTAACCAAACCAATGGGAGTTACACACCCTTTTCGGTATATTTGTTTCAATTAAGCCCCCCCCCCCCCCCACAAAAAACAAAAACAAAAAAGAAACAGGGCGAGCAGTCAACGAGACCGAACACTCGCCCGAACCGCCCCAACCTGCGCCTGCCCCGCGCTTCCCCAAGCTCCCGAAGCCGAAGCCGAAGCCGGGGCTCCGGGCCCATGCGCGCCTGGAGGCACTGCAGCGTCCTGCGGTACATGGGCTCCGCCTCCGCGAAGCGGCCCTGGCACGGGCACTAGGCGGAGGGGGCGGAGGGGGTGGCCCAACCCCCCCAGAAAAGCAGGACTGCATAAAACATACTGTGGATGGACGAAATCCTGCACTACCTAAGCAACCATGAGACACCATTGTTTGTTGGTGTTGACAAGCGAATCAACATTCCAGGGTTTCGTAGGTGGTGCAGGATTTCGTCCATCCACAGTATTAACCGCCTCGCGCGGGCTGGAAAATCTCAATCTGGCACCCATGACGACCAATGGGCTGGAGTGAGTCTGGTGCCTAAACTAGGGTTTTGCCAATGGGGGCTATGAAGATGCAAGGGTTCAATTCCTTGCCGGTTTGCTGTAACACTGTAAGCCCTCCATATGCCATATGGAAAGCACACAATGCATACAAATCAATAAGGACGTGAATGAATGAATGAATGAATGAATGAATGAATGAATGAATGAATGAATGAATGAATGAATGAATGAATGAATGAATGAATGAATGAATGAATGAATGAATGAATGAATGAATGAATGAACGAACGAACGAACGACCGAACGAACGAATGAATGACTGAATGCGTGAATGCGTGAATGGATGGATGGATGGATGGATGGATGGATGGATGGATGGATGGATGGATGGATGGATGGATGGATGGATGGATGGATGGATGGATGGATGGATGGATGGATGGATGGATGGATGGATGGATGGGTGAATGGGTGAATGAATGAAATGAAATAAAATAAAATGAAAAGAAAAATGGAATGGAGTGGAATGGAATGGAATGAATGAACGAACAAATGAACAAAAACACAAATTAACAAACAAAATGGGTGCTTGCCCCCAGGGAAGAAATAAAAAATAAAAAAATAAAAACCAAGCGCGTTGGGCTGTGGGCAATCAATGACGATCTTGCCTTCCCCGGGTCAAGGGGGGTAACTTGACGAGGGTTAAACCTCAAGTTCGCTCGAAAACCACCTCTGGTTGTCCACGACCAGTGTCAGGCCACCTCCAGGAGTAGACCCAAACTTGGAACCCTCCAAAAACAACCACTGGGTTGGCTAAGTTTTCTAGGTCCGCTTTCCCAGCCCTTTAGACTCATCCCCATGGCAGTTCTCAAAGCCACCGAGACCGAGGAAAGAAATAAGGCTTTGGGCGCCATACCCAACAGTAACCTCCAGAACCTTTCCCGAAACCTGGCCCATAACAGCTCCAAACCACTCCAAAGCCCTTCAGCGCAAAGAAAAAAACCCTGCGGCTCACGCGCCTGCGCCACGATCAGTGCGGCAAGATCCTGATGTCCATCGAAGGTGGCTGCGTTCGGTTGTGTAAGGATGTGGCGCAACTTTTGCAGGGGTCCTTTGCTGTCCAACCTGCCAAAAGAAATCGATCTCAAACGGCCAACCGCATTCGCCAAGCTTAACCTAGTACCAAGGTGTCCGGTTGGACCCATGAGAGTTCCCTTTCCTCCACTTACTTATATGCTTAAATTCAGCGGGTTTGCTTGCCTGACTTCATGCTAAGGTTGGTGTTCAGCACCAATTGCTTGGCAGGCGGGCATGATTTCGCCAAAACGGACGTTTCGAACAATGAATAACTTGTAGTGGGCTCAATGGAAACTACCACTAAGGCAACTAAAACCCTGAAAAGCAAAGGAACCGGATGGCTCGGCGCCAGTTCCCAAACGGGGCGCAGGCGATCCATGGCACTGGACTCAGGGCCCAGCGTTGGAGCCCATGAGCGTCTCAGGGTGCTCTGCGCCCAGCGCCGCCTGCCGCGCCTGCAACATGTGTGCAACGACGGTCGTCAGCGGATTCTTATTCTAGCAATGCTTTGAAGCGTATTTCATATCTTCAAAATGTTGTCTTTTGCTGACCTTTCTCCGCAAAAGAGTTAGCGGATTCTTATGTTTGCAGTGATTGAAGTGTTTATATATATATATATATCTTCTTTGTTTTATACATTACATTTTGTTCTTTTGTCGACCTTCCCCTAACTTCAAAAGACTTCTTTGTTTTGCACGTGTCATGTTGTCTTTTTCTGACCTTTCCCCTAAAAGCTAGTGACTGTTCGGGGCCATTGACGACCACTGAGGGCCCATTGCTCCCCTTACTGTGGCTTTCAACCAATATTGGGTAATTCCCGAATTGGTTTGGTGAAATGCCCTGTTCCCCCTATCTTAACCACGAAGGATTCATAGCCTCGCTCTCAAAGTATGCGGAGGTTGCTCCTTGGATGCTCAACCTGCTATGGGGATGAGGACCATCGTAAGTCAGCCAACCCCTTTCTTTTACTGATATCCCCCTGAAACCAACCCATTTGAACATATCAACTTGAAACAAGGCGGTTTCCACTTGAGGGTCCATACCCCGAACCCCCGGCCGCTGCAAATTCCACCACTCATCAAAGTGATCATTTCAAGGGGTTCTCAAGATTACTTCAGGGGCAGTTCCCAACCTGAAGCCGCAACCACTCAACCAACCTCCTGGCTTCCCTTTCAAGGGCACCGGAGAGAAAAAAAACTGTTTCCAGAAAACAAGGCAGCCCCCAAAAACCGCAAAAAAAAGAGATACCCTCACCAAAAGGAGTGTTCGGAATCTCGTTGGCCTCGAGGATACGCTTCAGGCGCTGCTCGCTCTTGCTGCATGCCAGCTTCAGGCACCTACTCGGCACCGCGATGGGGAACCCCCCAAAATGCTGGGCGTCCTTGCAGCTCTGCAGAAAAGCCGCTGGTGCATACTTGAACCTTAAAGGGTAACATAGTTTGGGAGGAGACCCCAGCTAGGGTGACAGTAGATGGCGCAGTCATACTGTGGATGGACGAAATCCTGCACCACCTAAGACACCCTGAAATGATGCTTCCCCTGTAAATACCAACAAACAGTGGTTTCCCAAACATGCGACCAAATCGGCATCACAATTCTATGTGATAAATACATCTGTAAATATAAATATATATATATATATACATATCACTGTGTGTGTGTGTGCGTATGTTGTGCGCGAGCATTTCAGGTATGAACCACAACAAAGAGGTTCTGTTTGCCAATTTTTCACGGCCTTCCAAAAAGTATCCAGCCCGGAAACTCCGCCTTTCCAATCCAGGACCTCTTTCTGGGGTAGCAGCTATGTTTCGGACCAGGACAGCAAGACCGGACCCTTTGGCCTTGGAAAAGCAAAGCCTTTGCCAAGGCGCGCAGCTTCATCTGGGCACACAATCCTCGGCTTGCCAGAACGGTCGTTTGTCAAAGGCCCCCAGAAAGTAGAAGGCTAAGAACCATTCCGGCTGGCACGGCCTCTAGCCCATGGCAGGTGTCCCTTTTACTGATTGAAGTTTGGCAGCAGGATTCCCTGCACAAGGCGTGGCAATTGAGAGAGAGAAGAGCTGCAGGAGCCGATGCGGCAAAAAAGGCAAATGCGGCAGAAACCTCCTGATGCAAAGGGTTCCTTTTAGGGTTCCGATGACCTTCGTGAAAGGGTAGGGATATGGTCAAGATGTCTCTTCTCTGAAGCAGACGTCCGGATCTTGCGGATGTCGACAAGTTGGTTTTCTGGCAAATGGGAGCCCAGGATTAATACGGCCTGTTAGCACTGCTGAAAGGACATGTCCCTGTTTGTGTGTGTGTGCGCGCCTGGTGAGGGGTTGCTTTGTACAGAGGGAAGGAACTAAAGTTGAAAGCCGAGAATTGTTGGAGTTCCAAATCCTATTTTGAGACAAGCCAAGGAGGGTACCGATCGAAACTGGGGAGGGTGCGGGGAAGGTTCTGACTTGGGAGTGTCTTGAAACCTCCCAAGATTTACATTTGTGTTTTTGGCCCCCTGAAAGAGTTGGATCTTTGGACTTTTACTTTTCGGGTAGTAGAGGATCTTCCATCGGACCCACAAGCCCAACTTTTTACAGGGGGGCCGCCAACAGCAAAATTGCATTTTTCGCACCGTCGCCAACTCACAACATTCCCGACAATGAAATGTTCCAAAACTAGCGGGAACCGCCAAAACAGCTTTACCCTCCCACCAACTGACATGGAAGTGCAAAAAGGCCCTTTCCAAGAGGAAAGTAGTCTTTCTACAGGGGTCTGTGCACTTCCATGTTAGCTGGTGGGAGGGTATCCCTTTGAAGTCCCTCTCCCCATTGCTCCATAAGGGTAACGCCCTTTAACTTATGTGCCTATTTCTGGGACCTTGCCACCTTCCAAGGAATGGAAACCAGAAATCTTAAAAGTATGTTAATAAACTTCTATTTGCTCACGAACATTGTTTGTTTGCTCTATTGGTTTCAAAAGGAATCTGGACCCCCCCCCCCACCCAAGCGGGCACAAAGCAACGACACCCAGTCCTTTCTCAAAATGTGGACCTCCTTTTGGTTGGTATTTAGATGAAAACCAAAAAGCACACCAACCATTTTGGGGGGTCCCTATTTTGAGAAGCGCCCAATTGGTCTACAAACTTTGTAGAGGCACAGCCTCAAGGGTGCAAGATCAGCCCGGGCCCACCATAGGCCACCAAATCGCGGGGTCACCCCCCCAAAGTGTGGCCCTTGCCCCCAACGGAACAGCAACCCTTCCATGCAAGGTAGGATAGTCAAGGGCCCCCAAGCCCCAAAAAAAGCCAAGTCTCGTATGTGTCTGTGCGGCCCCGTTGGCGCCGGGCTGTGTCGCCGCCGACCTGATCAGGTCCTGCGATTTCGAATGCGGTCTCTTCACCCAGACCTGCCGATTTGCATGGAAACATGGCTGACCATACATCCTTGAAGGAATGCTTCACAACCCTTGGCATGGTTGCAAACAACTTTGTCTCTGCAGCCCACTAAAAATGAACGTAACCCCAAAAAAGAAGGCGCTGGTCAAGAGCAGTGAAGTTTCTGGGTATCCTTTTGGACCCCGGCCCCCGCCCCCGGCCAACACCCCCGATACCCCGAACCGGCCTTGGGCGCCAGCACGGCTAGGCAGTATCTCGCGTTGGCGGACCTGCGGACGTCGGCGCGCGTGAAGTGCTCAAGCTGAGGCCCTTTGATTGGAACCCGCTGAGGGCCCCTGCACAACCCAGGCGAAACAAGTCAACAGTCAGGGGAGAATGGCGTGTGGAACAAGGGAAGGGTCGCGGGCTTTCCGAAGCCTAGATCATCCATCCCAGGTTTGGTTGATTGTGGTCTGCCCATCGAACCATCAGGAATGCCTACATAAAAGTGGATGAGGGCACAAGGGCTGCGATCCACTCGCCCCCATCCCTCACCACAAAGACCCCCTTTTCTTTGAGAGCTTGCTTGCGGAAACAAGGGGATTGAGAAAGCTGAATTCTCATGATTCCTCCAGACCTCCCCCCACCTCCCCGCCCCCAAAAACAACGCACACGCACACGCACACGCACACGCACACGCACACGCACACGCACACGCACACGCACACGCACACGCACACGCACACGCACACGCACACGCACGCACACGCACACGCACACGCACACACACACACACACACACACACACACACACACACACACACACACACACACACACACACACACACACACACACACACACACACACACACATCTATACAACTGGGCGCCCTAAATATTGCAACCACAAAACCATGGTAAGTTCCGCTCAATCAGGAGAGCTCTCACTCACCTCGTTGCCTTTACACAATTTAGGGCATCCGCCGGAGCCGTCGAAGATGCCAAGGCGCGGCACGCCGCTGGCTACGTTACCTCGGGCACTTGGGCGCGCCTCTCTCTGAGGGAAGTAGGTACCCCTTGTTCATACCCCTTGCTTGGCTTCCCTGGCTTACCCACTTTAAATGGGGTACAAGCAGCCCTGGATTCGAGGCGATAGGCCCAGAAAGCGCCGATAAGGGCATGGTTTGGAGCAAAAATCAGGAGGGTTGAAGAGAGTTTGGGGCTGTTGGGGATATCACCTGAGCTTTGGAGCAGGTTTAAAGGGAACCCTAAGAAACCAAGAAAAACCTAAGGAAACCACAAATTGTTGATTTCCCCCTATTTTGAGACACACTCTTTTTGCTGGCTGTTTTAAAGGGAACCTCTTCGCAAAGCATCTGCTGGGCAACTCTGGAACCATCTAGTTTCAAGTTTCACCACTCAACTCAACAGGTAAGCTCAAACTCTTCGTCCTCAAAAAACACTGCAAAAGTGGAACCCATCCTGCTTGCTTCCTTCTTTTTAGAAGGAACGCTTCCCCCCCCCCCCCAAGCAACCCCAACCCCAAAACCAAGACAAGGAAGCCACGCAAGGAAGTGCCACCGGGCGGCGGAAGGTGTAGGGCGAGGAGGTGGTGGCGTTGGTCTTCACCGGCGCCATGGCCTCTGAGTTTGGGGCTTTCGAAGCGCTTCTGGGGGTGGGAGGCCCTGGAAAAGACAAAGAAACAATAGGCGTCCTTTTGGAAAAATAGATGGCCCTGGTCAATGGAAAAAAGGCCATCTAAACCAGTGCCTTCTATTTTCAACCAAACTAACCTAAAAAGGACACCTATGCAAACAAATATCAGCGTCCATCTGATGTTTGGCGGTTTGCCCGGGTTTGGAGGTGTGGAGGGCGGTGTCCCATGTATCCTCTAAAAGAACCAGGAACAGTTCAAATCCCCAGTTCCCCCAATCCAAATCACCAATTCGGGGTAACCTTCTTGCATGCATGCCTGAACTGGGCTGCCCCTTTTCTGATCCCCTGATCAAAGCTTTTAACTGGCGCGTTTAATGGAAACTACCACTAAACCAACTAAAAACCTAAAATGCTAAGGAACCTGATGGCTGGGAGCCACCAAAAGAAACAAATGGCTTGGTTGATCAATATTCCCTTCGGCCCCGACGTGACACTGGATAACTTTTTCCCATGTGGTGACAGTCATCTATTTCAGTGGATTCCCTGATGGGAAAAGACCTTTCGATCAATTGCTGTTGACCCCTCGAAAACCCTCAAAGTTTCCCTAAAGTCCAAACATCCAACCAAATAGCCATAAACATAAAAGTCACTTCGTTTGATGCTCGTTTGGGGGTGGTTTAAAGCAACAATAAGTTGGAACCCGCCCATCTTTCCGGGTGTGAGTGTCCGCATCTATTTTGGGGCGAACCAACATTTCGGAGTCCGAATGTTTGGGAAGTTCTGAAAGATGCGAACCTTCAGGGAAACGTTGCGGAAGCTCTGACAGTAGCTCCCCCCCCACCCAAAAAAAAAAACTGAAGGGTGTGGGCCTTGAGCCTGAAAGCCCTTTCTCTCTCTCTTGACCGCCAAGTTGGAGTCAAAAACAAAACCCAGGTGAGTGGAGGTTTGCAGGGCCAGCCAGTCCCAAGGTGTGGCAACCGGAGTCTGGTTTGTTCATTCCGCTGGGATGGCGATAACATGTGTTTTTTCTTGCAGAGAGCCTTGCGACTTCTGAGGTCAAGCCCCTTGCGCCGTCGTCTTTTGTTTGCCCTTGTCGGTTTCGCCTGACTTTCCGTATCGGCCTCTCCCACAGTCTCCCCTTTGAACACCCTCCCACTTCCCCAACCCCCGCACCTCAAGAACCCCCCGCGCCACAAAAGCCGTACGGTTTGCCCCCTTACGCATTTTGTCGCCTTTGTAAACCAACCTCCATGGGTTTCCTCGGGAAACCGGCCGAAACGGGTCTGGGGGGTTAAATTCATGCTTGACACGGTTTGGGCACAAAGACCGGGAGTTTTGGCGATCTTGCCTATTTCTGCGCTTGAGCATGTGGCGGGGGGCAATGGGAACACGGTGCCCGATTCAAAACTGGGCTGTCCTCAGATCCCCGCTAAAACTTTCACTAGTGGGCGAAATGGAAACCCCACTAAACACCAACAAGCCAAAAAGCACCTTAGCGCCGGATGGCTGGGAGCCACCCAGACAACCAGCGGTCCACCGGTCTCTTGCGCCGATCCCGCGCTTCGCCGCGAAGCGCCGATTTTTCCGATTTTCCGAGGGGCGGCGATCGCCGCTTTGGTTCCCAGCTGGTCCGGCTCCTCCATCAGCCCATGGACGCCTAGCCGCAAGCTTCGGTGCAGCTTTTCCTTTCAAGCCTCACATTGTCAGGGGATCAAAGAAGATTCCAGAAGACCCCCCAGAAAAAAAAAAAAAAAAAAAAAAAAAAGCTGCAAACCCCGGGAATGCAGTTGGAGGCTCGGGTCGGTTCCACAGAACTGGGGAGATGGCCGAGTGAGCGCGGCAAGGCAACCCGAATGGAACTCAAAGCTGGACCTGCTCTCTCTCCTTGTGGTTTTCCTTTTTCTTTTCTTTTTTCTGGAGCTTAGGTGGATGCCCGAAATACTGCAAAGAACACCAAACAGAAACCATTGAAATGTGCCGGGCTTTGCTTGTTCACTAGCTACTTGCAAAATTTAGGGCGTTCGCCGTGATTCCACGGCCAGGCACCAGAATGGTCAGCTACTATAATGAAATGCTCCCCGGCTCTTTCTGAACAAGTGCGTGGAGCCCAAAAGGAGGCCCTCTTTCGACTGGCCCCAAGTGGGCAATGCTGAAAGGTGAAAGGGTAACTATGGCGAGCCCTGTCATATTTGCATGATCAGCTGAATGCCCAACCCAAAGATGGGGAACCGCTTCAGACCAAGACGCTTCCGTCCGTGTCCTTCAGCGCCGACCAGAGCTCAGGCGTGACGTAGGCAGCAGAGCAAATGGCGTAAAAGTTGCCTTTGGTCGTGTAGTGAAACCTCAGTCTGCTTCATTTTGAGGCAAATCTGGGGAGGTAGTTGAGGATGTCTCTTTACTACCCCCGAGCCCTCAGCAAGGCCCGGGTGCCTTATTCACTGGGAGACTTACAGGTGG